GGTACATGTTGGGTGCAATATGAGCTGAGTGTCAGGCTCTAAAACATGCATGGGCAAACCACGGCCCACGGGTCATATATGGCCCTTTGGGCTTTTTAAATGGCCCGCCGAAATTGTCCTAAATTTGGACAATTAAAAATAAAAAATATACAAACCGGATTCAAAAAAAGTTGGGACACTAAACAAATTGTGAATAAAAACTGAATGCAATGATGTGGAGATGGCAAATGTCAATATTTTATTCGTAATATAACATAGATAACAGAACAGAAGTTTAATCTGAGTAAATGTAACATTTTAAAGGAAAAATATGTTGATTCTAAATTTCACAGTGTCAGCAAATCCCAAAAAAGTTGGGACAAGTAGCAATAAGTGGCTGGAAAAAGGAAATTGAGCATATAACGAACAGCTGGAAGACCAATTAACACTAATTAGATCAATTGACAACATGATTGGGTATAAAAAGAGCATCTCAGAGTGTCAGTGTCCCTCAGAAGCCAAGATGGTAAGAGGATCACCAATTCCATCATTGTTGCGCAGAAAGATAGTGCAACAATACCAGAATGGTGTTACCCAGCGTAAAAAAGCAAATACTTTTAAGTTATCATCATCAACCGTGTATAACATCAAAAGATTCAGAGAATCTGGAACAATCGCCGTGCGTAAAGGTCAAGGCCGTAAAACTCTACTGGATGCTCGTGATCTCCGGGCCCTTAAACGTCACTGCACCTCAAATAGGAATGCCACTGTCAAGGAAATAAGACAATGGCCTCAGGAATACTTCCAGAAAGCATAGTCAGTGAACACAATCCACCAAGCCATCCGCCGTTGCCAGCTGAAACTCTACAGTGCAAAGAGGAAGCCATTTCTAAGCAAGCTCTACAAGCTCAGACGCTTGCACTGGGCCAGGGGTCATTTAAAATGGAGTGTGGCAAAATGGAAGACTGTTCTGTGGTCAGATGAGTCACGATTTGAAGTTCTTTATGGAACACTGGGATGCTATGTCATCCGGACCAGAGAGGACAAGGATAGCCCAAGTTGTTATCAACGCTCCGTTCAGAAGCCTGCATCACTGATAGTATGGGGTTGCATGAGCGCTTGTGGCATGGACAGCTTGCATGTCTGGAAAGGCACCATTAATGCAGAGAACTATGTTCAGGTTCTAGAACAACATGTGCTCCCATCTAGATGTCATCTCTTTCAGGGAAGACCCTGCATTTTTCAACACGATAATGCCAGACCACATTCTGCAGCAATCACAACTTCATGGCTACGTAGGAGAAGGATCCGGTTACTGAAATGGCCAGCCTACAGTCCAGTTCTTTCACCTATAGAGAACATTTGGCGCATCATAAAGAGGAAAGTGCGACAAAGAAAGCCCAAGACAATTGAACAGTTAGAGGCCTGTATTAGACATGAATGGGAGTGCATTCCTATTTCTAAACTTGAGAAACTGGTCTCCTCTTTCCCCAGACGTCTGTTGAGTGTTGTAAGAAGAAGGGGGGATGCCACACAGTGGTAAAAAGTCAAGTCAAGTCAAGTCAATAATACTTTATTAATCCCAAAGGGAAATTATTTTGTTGTTGTAACTCGTTATCCTCATTTCATTAAGAGATGTTATAGATGCTGATGGCTCTTGTAAAGGTCCATCCCTCAGTGGATCCTAAGAAACTGGCTGCAGATGCCGTCCGATCCGTCCACCCAGACACGGCTGGCCTCTCAGTTCCCCTGGACTGTAGGACCACCTGAATGCTGGGCAGAACTCCTCCCAGAGCGATGGCCACTCCTCCCAGCAGTCTGCCGAGCTCCTCATAGCTGCAGACAGCCAACTGTAGGTGCTGAGGGACGATCCTGTCCTTCCGCTGTCATGAGCCATGTTTCCTGCTAGTTCCAGGATCTCAGTGGTCAGGCACTCTAGCACAGCTGGCAGGTAGATGAGAATGCGTCCACATATCCTTTTCAACTCATTTGAGAGTTGGGACCATAGTTGAGATATTATTTGAGCTTCTGAGATGTTATCAGCTGCTGTTGTTGTAGAAAACTGCCTTGTTGCCATGGTTACGCATCATAACAAATGTCCAAAACCAAAAAAGTCTCAGTAAAAATCCTTCCAGCTGCACAGCATCTGATACCAGAGGAAACAATAATCCAAAAAATATGATTTACATCCAGAAAACCAAGAATTAAAGTTTCCAAAAGCAAAATCTCTGAATGAAAGTAACAGAGCTGCTCCAACATGCAGCCACCTTGAGCGGCGTAATTCTAGAATAGGACTAAATGGACTTGGACTTGTGGACTTGTCAAAATGGACTTGTCCCAACTTTTTTGGGATTTGTTGATGCCATGAAATTTGGAAACAGCTGATTTTTCCCTTAAAATGATACATTCTCACAGTTTAAACTTTTGATCTGTGATTTGTGTTCTATTCTGAATAAAATATTAGATGTTGGCACCTCCACATCATTGCATTCAGTTTTTATTCACAATTTGTTTAGTGTCCCAACTTTTTTGGAATCCGGTTTGTATATATGTGTGTGTGTGTGTGTGTGTGTGTATATACATATACTTTATTTTTCAGGGGTGCTTAAGCACCCTCAAAAAGAGGTTAAAATCGCCACTGGTTCAAATTATATATAAAAAAAAAAAACTGAATTTAATAGGAAAAACACTGGTGTCGTTTTACCTGTAGTTCCAGCATTTCTCTAATAGAGGCGTACTACAGACACTGGTGTGTATTAGAGGCAAGTGGAGATAAAGCAATTTCTTCTTCTACGCTTTTATTTTTACTTTGCCCTACGAACTCATCTGTAAAACGTGTTTATCAAAGAAAAGTGTACAGTGAGTGCCGAGTGTTTAAAATGGGGTGGACAACTACGTATTGTTTCACTGAGGTCCAATCAAAGGCAGTTTTTATGCCAAGAAAGTGTTGCGGTTTTCAAAGAGTACACTTTTCTAACTGCTAACTATGCTAGCAAGCCTTTCTCTGATGGCGATTTTTAAAAAAGAAACATGGTAAAAACAGAGCAGGTCTATTGTGTCCGGAGGGCCAAGACAAGTTAGAAAAAATCATCTTATCATACAGGACTGTGACTCTCCTTGTGGAACTGATTGATGAAGATTTAGCAAAATAGGCTAAAAGGCAGAGAGAGTCCTTTAAGGTACGGTTGACTGGATGAAAGAAATAAAGGACACTGCTCATCTCCTATTTTTTTTATCGCGGGATTAACAACAGTTTTGACATAATGGACATGTTTTTGACCCTGGAGTCTCTGAAAGGAAAAACATGGAGAGAGGATTTATATAACCATCTTCTGTCACGAGAGAATGAAACTTCTGTGGAATAAAGTTGACAATGTCACAACGGACAGATTACCAAATTTAAGTGGAAAACATGTCGGGCTGCTGACAAGAATCCAGGATAAAGTGAAAGGAAAACCTCGACCAGGATGTTATTTTTCATCTATCAGGAATCGCTTTAAATCATGCTTTGTGTGTGCGTGTGTGACACTGTTAATCGTGTGTGAATTACCAAAAAGAAAGTGAAAGACAAAAACGTGTTAATTATTGTCCAGGTACTCTGTTGTGATGCTGCATAGAGGAGCTGCAGGAGGCTGATGTCTGCTTCCATTCCCAACCTGCCACTGCTGACCTGTCATCAACTTTAGATCCTGTAGTTGTAAAAAGTTTTGGGAGGAGTTAGTAGAAGTGAGCTGCCATTTTATTTAGACTTTTCTCCTGTATTCCATTAGCATAGTGTGGTAAGAGACTTGTGGTTTGGTGAATTTTATTTTTCTTCAGGAAAGAGAAAATACAGTGTCCTGATGCATGTTCAATAATCCAGGTAGAAAAATCTAAAAAAGTTAAATCTGGGCCTCTGGACATTCAAAAAAACAAAACAAAGCAAAACAACAAAAAAATGTAGAAACGTTTCGTCTCTCATCCGAGAGACTTCCTCAGTCTGAGGTGCTATATTCAGCTCAGTCTCTGAGAAGGTGCTATTTAAGAGACTGAGCTGAATACAGCACCTCAGACTGAGGAAGTCTCT